TGTTGATGTCAACACTTTTTAGATTTAGTATGCAGGACACTGCAGTATTTCTACTTCTACTAGTAAAGAAAGAGTACTTCTTCCACCTCTGTCTTTACAGTGAAAGCTAATTATCTGGGGGGAAACCATTAAAAACTAGAACAGGACTCCAGGAGCAGAAATCCTCGGGAACCCTACAGACACAGTATTTGGCGTGTATGTTGTGAGAATAACAGAACAATAAAATCAGCACAGCCACCTTTCCCTATTCTATTTTCTCCTCCAGCAGGAGTCCGGTGTCATGGGAGGAGTTTGCGCTGGGACCCACAAAACTTTTGCGTGTGCGCGTGTTTCGACGCCACGCCTCTGTGCGTTTTCCTCCGCGCGTTGATTTCATACCAAACTCATACTTGGCATTCCGCCTTTTTTTCTGTCAAACACGGTTATTTTTACCAAGGAAATAAAGGCGATACACAAAGCAAAAGTGCTTTTTAAACTCGAGTATACGGGCAGGAGTGTGTGCCTGTAACAGCGGGGCAAGAGAGCCTTTGTGAGGTGAGTGCGCTCTCAGATACTTCTTTGTTGTGTGCTGCAACTTTCATGCAGCTGCTTCGCTTCGTGTGTGCCTGAAGTTTTGGGATATTTTACATATTTCGCATTTTCCCGCTGCCGCTTTGCTGAATCAGAGGCTTTTTCGTAATTAGCGGGGAGTTCCTTTTTTATCCACTTAGCCTCGAGTTGTAGTAAAACAGTGACTTTTTTTCGGCGTCTCTCGGACTTAGTTTGGAGTTTGTTGAGGTATTATTAGCCCGCAAGCTAACTAACTAGCATGCCAGATCGAGTGCGTTATCAGTGTTTAGTCTGTGATATATACCGAGATTATGGAAATCACATCTGTTATACACTTTAAAGCGTGTGTACGGTGTTTTACCCAAACGCTAGCCTGAGTTACATGTAACTTATTTCACACTTTGTATCAAAGGCAAATCGTGCTAACTCACAGTTGGCTAAACGGCTTTCAGCCACTGAGTGTGATTTCGTTTTTCCCTCTGCGAGCAGATTTACTTCATTGTGAAAGTGTCACCAACATGTAATACTGGTCTTACGGGTTTACACAAGTCGAGTGAGAAAAGACACCTTTGTTAGTTTGGGTACAGTCAAAGTAGTAATAGTCAGCTGAGGTGGCCACGTAAATCTGAACGCACTGTGATGAGATCTAGCTCGGTTAATCATAATGTCAGTGCTCCCATTGGAACAGAAGGCATCCTGCAATGTGCATCTGTCTTCTCAGTGTTTGCTGAGCTCATAGCTTTATTTAGCTCAACTGACTCCTCACTGCACTAAACATCTGACCTTTTGGTCATTGGTGCTAACTTTATAGAGAAACTGGCAGGGCCGAATATAGTGCATAAATGTATTTACTTTGCATCACTACCACTCTGATAAATGAAAAGTCTGTGGCTGTTGGCGACTCAGTTTACTGTTATTTTTCAATTATTATAGACATTGATCACCAGTGACCTTACACTCTTGACCCTGCAGCAGCTGTCCACTTAATAAAATACACTATTTCATAGATATCTCATTGATCAATCTAATACAACAGATATGCCTGACATTGTATGTAAGAGATGATCATTTCCAGTTTTGTATTGCTGATCTTGAAGTTAGTAAAGTTTTACTGGAATAAAATACTATATTTACTTAAAAAAACGACTGACACTTTTTTGTTGTTACTAGCTTTAACACTTAATTTTTGGGTTTACCTTTTTGCTCTGACATAATTATAACCCCATATGCAGATAAGGTCAAAGGTTTTAACTTCCTATGACCGAAATGATTCAAACTGAGCTATCATTTTTATTTGCGTGACAAAATACAAGAATTACCACACATCATTGTTATAACAACAAATAGAAGTGTATTTTAATGTTGCATGAACAAATCAATGATACCATTGAGCCATTCACAAACAAACCTTTAGAGGCCTGAACAGGGGAAAGTATAAAGTATTTTAAAGGGGACATTTTGTTTTCCCAACTTTGGATCAATAAAGTACATCTTATCTTATTAACCTCTTTTGTATAGTGAGGGCCAATTATAACTCACACATTTGTCACTAATGTAATGTAAAACTCTTAAGAAGCCAGTCTAATATCATTTAGAAGATGTTTTTCTAGCTGTTAAAGGGCCCAAAAGGCACAGTAAACCTTCCTTGTCACCCTCGATAATCACAATGTTGTTTCAGGCATTGCTCTTTCCTTACCATCTCACCAGGGCCTGTCTGATCGTTATGGCAACAGCACAGTCCCGTCAGCAGTGATTGAAACTGGGAAGGCCCTAATGCGTCCAATAAGCCCACCACAGCAGGGGAAGCTCTTGCGACCACATCGATACTCTGTGGTTCTTTTGTGGCAGGGACCATGTTAGCCACGCTCTGGAAAACATTACACACTAGGCAGCATTCATGTTGTATATGTGTACGTGTATTTGAGGAGACTTGGAGCATCCTCAACAATAACAAAAGAATGTGTAATTTCCTCATGTGGCCTAAAGTTGCAGGCTTCTGGGAAGTTCAAATGGCTTATGTTCTGTCTTTCAAAGTGGTTTCTTTAGGACGGTTAGCTAAAGGACAATGACTATCTGGTCTGTCCATCACCAACTTGGGTAACCCTAATAGCTTGGCCAACTGGTAGTGCCTTCGTTGACCTTGGCCAGTGTCTTTGTACATTTACAGGCTCTTAATGTTTTGCCATTTTGCTTGTCGGGTCTTTAACCTCGAATGCCAGTGCTATTAATACACCTTGTGCCCATGGAGGCTTTAAACAACCTCAGATGAATCTGATCTCACTCCTGGTGAAGTGTGGAGACATTTGTAGTCCAAGATATCTGTCGCCATTCTCGGCAGCCATAAAGTTAATCCTGGCTCTGTCAATCCATCACATTGTGTTTGGGGTTATGTGGCAATTGCAGGACAGCTTTAGAAGTAAGCTCAAAATAATGCCCATGAAATATACAAATAAAAGTTAAGTTTGATTAACTATACATTTCATTTAGATTGTGCATACTAGGGTTGCAAGTAGGGATAATCATAATTTCAATTATCTTATTTAGTTGTTTTGTCTATAAAATGCTTGAAAATAATAAAAAAAAAACTGCCCGTTACAATTCGAAAGATGAAAAAAGCAGATAATCTTCTCATTTGACAAACTAAAAACAGAACTTTTGGTTAAGGTCCTTTGGCTAATGGATACATTGACTAATTGACAAATCGTTTGAGCTCTAATTATTCTCTTGTGTTGTCAGGTGGCACATTCAGTAATCTAAGAAATTGTCTCTGATTGTCCAGGCTCTGGTACCTAGCATAGATATTGTGCTTGTAGTTGGGGATGCTCCGATCGCATCGGCCGATACCGATATCCGATCAAGTGGGCGGAGCCTATGGGGATCTTCCATTTAAAGTTATGTTTACACTCAGTTAATGGGGCTCATTCACTGGCGCTTCCACAAACAACAACCAACATAATTATTACATTCAAATGAAGTACATTATTCAAGTTTACATTAACTTTGGATAATAACACGGGAGAAATGAGCAGAAGCGCTCTCTTTTCCTCTCTCCCTCCTCTGACAGCCCGTCAGTATCAGTCTCTTACAGCTCGCTGATCCAGTAATGAGCGACTCGACAGTGAAGAATAAATATATGTATAACTAGTTTAGCTTGTTCCAGAGGTAGATAAAATGGCTAAGTGTGTTAGGTCTAACTCTTAGTGTGTGTTTCGCTCCGCTCACCGGTCCGTCACAGCGGGCTGAGCTGCAGGACTTCTGTTTCACACACGTTGCATACCGCTATTTTACTATCTTTTTCGGACACCTTAAAATACTGCCAGACTGGTGAAGCCATTTTGGCGAGTTGTTTTGCCGCGCACAGAGAAAAGTTTCATGTATTTTACGTCATGCGATCGGCATTTTTAGAGAGCACCGATCGATCGGCAGAGATTGAGTATCGGCCGATCGATCGGAGCATCCCTACTTGTAGTTTTACATCTAACAATATTTTAATAATTTTACCACATGAAAAGGCCAATGCTCTGTCCACTTTTCACTCCAAAACAACATATTTTCTCCAAGGAGTAGTTTCCATTTCGGAGCAACTGGATATTCATGTTTGTTTGCCTAAAAAACCCTTTCTATTTTAAATAATGTGATTGTTAAGACACAACATAGATTTCAAGCTATTGTTGTGGGCAGCGGTGTGTGTGCTGGTTACTTCCAGTTCTTTGGTGGGTTGAAGATACAGAAAGATTATTTAGTTTATTTTTACTTGTACACTTGTAGACTATGCACTTCAGGGTTTGTCTACATTACATGAATCGATGATTTAAAGCGGCACTGTGTTTTCAAAACAGCCAGCATACGGCTGCATTCATTTCTTTAAACCTTGCTGATTGCCATGCCTTTTTGTCTAAATACATCAGCTATCAAAACAAATATGGCTCTGTGTTCTCACATTGTGGTATTATGGTGTAATGCTTTTTTAATGTGGAAGAAATCACGTCTTGAAAACTGGATTCAGTACAAGAGCAGCAATAGTTAACCATGATAGTGTGAGGCTACATTTAACAAACTATGCAGCCTGACAGGGTAATGTAAGAACAAAATAACAGTGTAACTCAAATTCTTCATATTTATAATACTAGGACCGGCTGACAGCTTTAGCCTCAGACTTTTAGCAATTCATCACGTATGAAGCTCTCTGTCACGTACATGTTTAAGACCTTTTTTTACACTGTGCTTGTTTTTAAAATAGTCCAAATAAAACGTTAAAATGTGGAGCTGCCAGCCACCATTGTCATTTCAAGCTTCAAATCAACATTTGCTGGCTAAATGAGAAGTTTTCCATTGTCTACCTTTATGTACAAAGAGAAATGGTTTTTAAAAAAGTACTATTTGGTATAATGAGTGATACAGTTTGCCTATATTCTTGTTAACTGTAGGCGTAATAGTAGAACTTATCAGAAATGTCATGTCCTGTTGTCCTAGGTGTGTTGTGGCCACGAGCCGTCATCATTGCGTCGGAGTGGAGTTGCCGTGGCAGCCCTGACGGGGCTCAGGAGGATGGTGCAGATGGAGAGGTGGCAGACGGGCCGGACCGGGGATTGGACGGTGACCCCGAGGGAGTCTGGAGTCCAGACATCGAGCAGAGCTTCCATGAAGCCCTGGCCATCTACCCTCCCTGCGGCAGGAGGAAGATCATACTTTCAGACGAGGGGAAGATGTATGGTAAGGTCCCGAAAACGTCTTAACATGACAATTTGTGATTCTTTTAATGGTGTCAACTCAGTTTAAAATGACCAAATATATTGTTGTCGTATCATATACTATAGCCTCTTATGAATGACAGTTTTGTTTACACTTATGTCCAGCAACTTTGGGAGTAGGGCTGCAAAACGATAAATGATTAAAATAAATGTGTCTACTAGGACTGCACGATTTGGGGAAATAATCTAATGCGATTTTTCTGACAGATATTGCGATTCGATTTGCGATATTTGTTTTTAAGCGACCCAACGGAAGTTTATTGTAAAATGCGGCCATATCTCCGGCTAGGAAGGTCGTGTCAACGTGCTCCCATCTCTAGCACCCCCGCAGCCCGAGCTACGAGCTTCAGTTTAAGATTCACCCTGTAATAGATGTAAAACATGTGATGGAGCATTACTAACTGACTCAGATGGTTTGTTTCACCAAACCATCTAGGAGAGCTCCATTGGAAGCCATTTGGAAAAGTATTTCAAAAAGACTTGGCAGGTGATTGGATCAATCTGTCTATCACCTTCTATCATGGGCCACTTCTGATTGGTTAACAATGACTGGTACATGTGGAGCACAGCACTTCTGATTGGTGTGGATGACTGACACACAAGAAGAACAACAACAAAAATACAAAAAATCGCAGGCTGTGCGATTTGATAATTGCATCATTTAAAATCACGATTTCAATTTAAAATCGATTAATCGTTCAGCCCTAGTGTCTACGCTGGAGGCATTATGTTTTCGTCTGTCCATCACATTCTCAGGAACGCAATATCTCAGGAACGCCTTTAGGGAATAGTTTTTATATCTGGAACAATCGTCCACTTGGACTCAATGATGACCTGACTAGAATCTGGTGGTCAGAGTTCACTATGACTTCACAAAATGCATTTTGGCTATAACTCAATTATTCGTGACACCATTTCTGGAGAATAATATCCAAAATGTCAGAAATCAACTTCACTGTGACTTTATAATGTTCTGCAAAAACACTTTTCTGGCAATTATTTAATGGCATAACTCAGGAACAGAAGGCTGATTGTGGTCGGACACTGAAATGTTGACAGTAATCTTGTGAGCCCACCATGAAACTGTGGTGATTGATGGATAGATAGATCTTCGGTCCTGCTGGGCATCCATTTCAATGAACTTATACACATATAGTAATAGAAAAACCACAAAGTCTAACAGTCAAGAGAAATTAGTTTAATCTATACATCCCAATAGGATACATTTTAAAAAGAAAATCCTTAAGTAGCTCACAATTTGTACAGCAAATGAATTAAAGGGAAAATAGCCCATAAAACAATCTTTTGATTCAGAATGTATAATGTTTATGTCTTACTGAAGTGAGTGTCTTCAAGCTGTACAGCGACACAAAGATAAGGTTCAAGTATAATGGCTCATCTTTTCCAACGGCATACACTTTATTGGTCTTTTCTTTTACTGAATATTATAAAACTGAAACTTTGTTCTTGAAAAGGTTCCTAGCAAAGGTAGTGATCCACTCCAGAGATGGTCCTGTAGAAACGTCTCAGTTTGTACCCAGGTGATCTGCCTGGAGGTATTTTGGGACAGTGGCTATTTAACTTCGAGGTCAAAAAACAGCCCATGCTGACAGGGTCCAAGACTAGAGCAGGTTGACATTTCAGGTCAGGCTAGGGTTAGCATGAACCAGTAAAACACACATTCCTGGACATTCATTTCTTAAAGACTATTTTTTTAGGATCTGCTCAGTACACTGCCAGTGAGTAGAGCTTTGATGTATTTTGACTGTTTCTTCCTACCTTATTGAAGTCATTGGCTACCGCCCAACATTCCTAACATTCCTCTCTCTTTTTTTTTGGCTGAGGGATGGCATTCCGGCCTGCAGCAGCCTGTGTCATGTGTTTGTGTATGTGGGAGTGTGTGTTGTGGGGGAAACTAAATATGTGCTCCCATGCGACAGAAAGAGAGAGTTTGTTTCAACGTTGCAGCCTTTTCTCCTTTTGTGGAAGTGTGGGCTCGCTGTGTTGAACCACCCCCACTTCCTTCTGTATAAACAAGGATAGTCCCACTGGTTACACAAATTCACACGTTGGAAAGCGCCACTGACACTGAAAATAATCCCCACGCTCTTTTTCCAACTTTAGAGTCACTGCCTTTTAATACAATCCTTTAAAACCTTTGAATACACATTTTAGCTTTCAAATATTGCGTTTTATTTGTCAAATTGTATACCTTTTTTTATAAAAAAAAAGTTTTGTAATTATTATGATTATTTTACAGTTTACCAAATAAAGACTTTTGAAAAACAAGGTAAAGAAAGAAGACAACCTTGCTTTACAATAATAATTAGTGATTCTATCAGAATTTCAGTCTGTGCTTTCCATCCATATCATACATTTCACATATTACATTTCCTTAAATTATCCGTCAATACACCACAGGAGTACAAACCAAATAAATGTTTGAAACCTTGAATACTATAGATGTACTTTTACTTGACATTGTTCAATTTGTCTTGGAAAATATGACTTTTAAGCTAATGTACTAATTACAAATATGTAAAATCCCAGACTTTCCCTCTTAACCAAACTATTTGTTTTACCCCTACGGCTAAACTATGCCCGTCATATTTGAGCTCGAGTCTTTGTGCCCTCAGTCATATGTAACTACTATGAGGTCACCAATAACTATGCAATCAAGCATGTAACACCATAATTATGGGTGTACTGAAAACAAGTAAAAGCCATTCAGATTTTTTTATTTATCGCTTTAGCTAAAATCTTTTTCGTCATGACTTTGTGTAGTTTTTTTCAAAACAGGTGTCTCAAAATAAATTCCTAAATAGCTTTCCTCCTTAAGTTTATGATTGGTGTGGGTACATTTTGTTGTGGTGGGTTTCCATTTAGAGATGGGAATAACTCAGTTCAGGTCAGAGACGGTCTCCTGCAGATTGTCAAATACGTACATATTTGGCAGGGCCTCTTCACACTCTGCTGAGGGATGGTCATACCGCATGGTCCGGAGTGAAACATGCAGCTCGATATCTGCAAGACACCTTGCAGATCTTGTCATTTGGCCAGTCATTTACTTTTAATTTAAAGGGGACCTATCATGCAAAATGCACTTTGTGATGTCTTTTATACATAAATATGTGTCCCCGGTGCGTCGGGGAACTCGCGCAGCGTCAGAAAATAAAACCCTCTCTCTTTTCCTCCGTACCCAAATCTTTTAGAAATGGGTGTACAACGAGCGGATACAGATTCCATCCGAACTGACGTCAAATCGGCAGCGGACCCACAGAAAATTGCTATCAGAAACAATGCCTGATGTGTTTTGGACGTAATCTCGTCTTTGTTTACATTAGCAAGCCTCGCTAACACTCAGAGCTAACCTGTACTGAAGAGCACATGTGTTTTAAAAAGCAGGAAATAAAAAAAGAACTCACCTTGTGATAAACCTGCAAAGGCACACAGGGGATAGGATTTGAGCCTCCATATATTTCAGAAATAATCCTTGACGTGGTTTAAACAGGATGGGGTTTATCACAACCAAATTAACTTTTATCTCCGGTAAGAATTCTGATCAGGTCAATTAGCTCCCCCTCCTCTTTCTTTCTTTTTTTCCAAGCTAAGGGACCCAAGATCCGCTTTTCTCTAACCGTGCTGCAAAAGAGGGGTTTGAGCAGTATGAGGCATGGCTACAATGGGTGATCTGTTTGGTATTTTGAAAAAAAAAACTTCAGACATGTTTTGTATAGGTATGGCCCTACAATATATTTTTCAAATATAGCATGATAGGTCTACTTTAATTGTGCAACCGCATTGAACTAATGACCAAATAAATGTAAAGCATAGCTATAAACCTGAGTTGAAGAAAGCTTGGTCATTGTTGCAGATGAAGGGAATCCAAGGTGTAAATCAAAGTCAACTTTAACGTCAATCTTTCAGTTTGTGTGTACAGACAAAGAGATCGAAATGACGTTTCCAACAATCCCAAACACAAAAATATTATACAATATACAGATATGTATATTCTATATACACAATCAACAGACACATTAAGATAAAAAACACAACAATCAATATATACAAACTAACAGTCACTTCAATATCAAAATCTTTGGGAATGTACATTAGTGAAAGATTGTAACAAAAATAACACACATTATAATAAATAACACATTATAATAAGTGGCTCATGCGTTTACTGCTGGTCAAAAGGGTCAGTCCTTATGAGGAGTAGCAGTAGGCTGCAGGAAGCTGCATGTGTCCTGTTTTGGGAATTGGAGCAGACTCCTCAGTCTGAGTCAGACCCCTCTGCTGATTTTGGGGAATTCTGTGTTCTGGTAACTCCACAGAGGTGACTCAGCCTGATGTGACCTAAGTTATAGCATCACATCACTTCCCAGAAAGAAGGATTATGATGTGAGAATAAATTATTAAAGCTGTAGAATCAGTATGTAAGGGCTAATTATCTTTGGCTTCTCTCTCAATCTGCATTTGCAGCTGGGTAGAAAGTGAGTTGCTTACAGTCAGATAAGACTCACCAGGTGGGGGATGGTAGCTGTGGGAGGCAGAGAAATAAAGGGCCGACCATGCAGTCTTTAGTGACCCCATGTGAGAAGTCTTACAACTACACGGTGAAATCTCGTCTCTTTTTCCTTCCTTTTCCAACATTGCCTGCCATCCAGCTAGCCCCAATTTCCCTCTAAATGATCACCCGTTGTATATCATATACCCACTGTGTGTGTGTTTGGGTAGGGAAATTGATATAGCCTTAGCATCTTCTCAAACTTTAAGTGCAGTCACATTAAACTTTCATATACTGCTGGCTTCATTTCAAATGGGATGGAAAAGTTTCCAAGTCTCTCGATCTTCTTTTGCTTCATACCAAAGATTGTTCTGGAATTTTAAGAACAGCCTAAACCAGTTCCACCAGTTTGACAATGTGTGACTCCTAGGCATGACTCTCTCATAGCTTGAATGTACTTAAGAAGATTCATGTGTTAAAATACAACCCTAATAAGAGCCTTAAACTTGATAACAAGAGCTGCGACCAACACCAAGCAATCATTTATTTTGGTTGAAAGTTGTGGCAAATTTTAAGATGTTTTGTTCTTGGCCAAATGGTTACAGTTAAATGACATTTAATGTAATTTCAACAGAACACCTTTTTAGATTTATGAAACTAATGACGCCAAGATCATCACTAATAAATATAGGCCATTACATTGACAGGTTATTCCATACTTATCAAAAGCTCTAAATGGCTCCAACACTTAAAAAATTGAGAGGCTGTCTTTACTTTATATACATTTTTAGGAAAGGATCACTATTATGAACCCCTGATCAAAAATATATTGATAACTATATTGACTGAAGTAAAGCAAATGTGTTAAAATAGGTAAAGACGGCGTATTTTGATCAGAACATATTGTATCGTGCGTGACTAAGGTTTACTGATAGAAATGTTTAATTTCTCCTTTTTGACTTCAACTATTCCTTTTTCAATTTTAGGTCGAAATGAGCTGATTGCTCGCTATATCAAGCTACGAACAGGGAAGACGCGCACACGCAAACAGGTATGTACAGACAGTAGTGAAGAAGATAGTATGTGTTTTAGGATAAACTGTCATTTACTCATTCGCTTTGATACAATTATTATTAAAGGACCCGTGGCTTTTTTAAATGGCTAAATACTGTTATATATTTTTAATTATTTTAAATATCTTTCTAGTTCTCTACCTGTGTTTTTAATTCTTGTTTTTATGCATCACGACTCCAAGTCAAATTCCTCGTACGTGTAAACCTACCTGGTAATAAACCTGTTTCAGATTCTCATTCTAAATCAACTCTTAAATGTGTGCTTTTTCATGGGGGTCCCCCTGGCTTCATAGGTGTCTAGTCACATTCAGGTTCTGGCGCGTAAGAGGGTACGAGAATACCAGACCAGCATCAAGGTGGGTGCCCACTGAATCAACTCTCCCTTCCCTCTGTAGTCACATCCCCTCTTCTTTTCCTTTCCTTTTTCCTCCCATCCTCTGTCCTTCGTCCTGTCTTTCATCAGGTCTCTAGTCACCTGCAAGTCTTGGCCAAGAGAAAGTCTCTTGAGATTCAGTCCAACCTCAAGGTACACACGTTAGCTGCTTCGCTCTGCATGTGGCCTAAATCTAACATTTAAATCAAATCAAAAAATACGACTTTGGACGTATTACGAGAAGGCATATTTAAAATAATAAAGCATGACATATCTATTTAGTGTTAACGTGATGCTTGGATTTCTATACAGGCATCTAAGGCAGTTGCACTAAATCATGAGGATGGAGATGAGTACATCCAGTTTACAAATAGTTAGTTGCATGATTTGTAATACCATCATTTTTGTTATTAGAAGTGGGAACAGGACGTGGCATGCTCAGGCTTTGCAAACTCGTATTATTTTCAAACATTGCTTTCCGTCTGTATTTGAAGTCGTCTAGCGTTGCTCAGTATAAGAGTCCGATTTGTTGTATTTTATCATAGTATGTTGGAAATAGTTTTCTAAATGCATGGCAGTAATGTTGTTTAGTAAGTGGCTTTGGAAAGTGTATTACACTAGATACAGTACTCGGCTCGTTTGAACTAAGCATGTGCATGGCTTTAGTAACGTAAATAAATGGCTTGCATACACTCAGACACACAGGGAGTAGTTAATGGGCCCCTCGTCCATGTGCACATGACCAATTTCAGTTTTCTCTTTAAAATCATTTCTGATCTCTGTCTAATCTAAGAAACTTCCCTCAGTACTTTTATACCTCTTTCTTCACTCTTATAAAGGTTCTGTGTGACATCTTTTTGCACCAAAGGCATTTGTCTTGCCGCCCATTTGGAGAACATGTTTAGATTTCCCCGCAGGTATATATTCCTGGTATAAATGTTAGCTCTCAACAGGATGTAGCTCGTCATGTCTGTTAGATTATCATTTTGGCTATACTGTGTTTTTAGTGTGTAGGTTAGGGGTGTAGTAATTTCAAAGAGTTGTATGTGTAGAGGAAGGTGTTTTTCCTCATTGCATAGTAGAAAATATTTGTGACCTGCTGTTGTTTTGTATGTACTGAAGTTAATTATTAACGTGTCTCCTTTGCCGTAGGCCATGAACTTGGTAAGTTTTGGATATATAACTACAATCTTTTGCTTCAGGCTTTGTGCTTTGTGGTTGGCATCACATAACTGCTAGCCCACATTGCAGTTTTACCGCCAGACTCAAAAGTCCTGCTCATTACTCCTTTGTTTTTTAGTGGCTTTAGTTAAATACTGGTGATGGCTCCAGTTAGCTAGTCTGCTAGCGTGGTGCTCTTTCTGCTTTGGCATCCCACTGTATCTGCTTTGCACTCTGTCCTGTCTTCCCTCATAGTTACTGCTTCATGCTGAATCACTGTATAACATGTTGGCTGGCTTGCTGTCTGAACTGGCCTTGAAGGCTGGCTGCTTCTACATTTGACTGGATTTGACCAGATGGAGCATTGTCATTGTGTATCGCCTTTTTCTCCGTTATTCAGGACCAGGTATCCAAAGACAAGGCACTGCAGACGGTGGCCAACCTCTCGTCAGCTCAGATTGTGTCTGCTAGTGTAATGAAACCCCAGACTCAGTTCCCTCCACCAGTCAGAGTGAGCCTCACACACACACACACACACACACACACACACACACACACACACACACACACACACACACACACACACACACACACACAGACAAGCATCTGTTCTTTTCTACCTTCTGGGTAAAGCTCTGAGTAATACTATCTGCTCCATTTCCCTTCTTTCCTTTTGTTTAGTTTTGGCCCGGCCCTATGCCAGGACAGGCTGGACATTCTCAGGAGTAAGTCTCACTGGCAGATTATTTGGTGTTGTTTGTTTCAACCGGAGAATGTCTAATCATTTTGTGTTCCTTTTTGCAGCATCAAGCCCTTTGCACAGCCACCATACACTACACTACCACCCCCTGTCGCTGTACCTATCAGTGAGTGTGAACCCACGGATTTCTACTGAGTTTTAAGCAATAATGTTCGGTATGTTAATTGCTTTCCTGATTTAAATGTTTTACAGGCTATGAGCCCCTGCCTCCCCCGCGTCCCGCCGCCATAGCAGCTCCTGTATGGCAAGACAGAACCATCGCCTCAGCAAAACTACGGCTACTAGAGTACTCTGCATTTATGGAGATCCAGAAAGAAAGGGAGATGGTACAGACACCCAGACCTTTATAAAATACTACATAATACTTTTGTATGTCCTTTCCGATTGTTTTCTTATCCCTTCTCCTTCCTCCCCTACAGTATAAACACCTTTTCGTGCTCATTGGACCGTCAAACCCGGGTTACAATGACCCCGTTTTGGAGTCCATAGATGTGAGGCAGATTTACGACAAGTTCTCCGAGAAGAAGGGAGGCCTGAAGGAGCTGTATGAAAAAGGGCCGCACAACGCATTCTTCCTGGTCAAGTTCTGGGTCAGTACACAATGCCAGTATTCTCCCTTTTTTACAGGCGCAGAAAAGTAGGTCAGGGTAATTAAAAAATGACCCCAGGAAGTCAGGTGATTATTAGGGTATTGTACGACATTGAACACAAAATGCATTCCAGTTTTTACGTTGGATTTATTTGTATTACTCATTTAGATAGATTATTAGTTTATACATTATACAACTCGGTTTAAAACCAGCTACACTACACTGGGAAAGCAAAGCCAGTGTGATGATAGGGCACACCGGAAGTTAGTAGTTGATAGCGATGGTAAATAAACAAAAGTAATCTTTACATTCAGTGTTAGTCATCAGGCTGCAACAATTAGTTGAAAGCTTCAATCAACCTGTTCTTTCCAATTCTACATCAACATTTTAATTATGTACAGTTTTTTTCTATATACAGGACTGTCTCAGAAAATTAGAATATTTTGATAAAGTTCTTTATTTTCTGTAATGCAATTTTAAAAAAAACAAAAATGTCATACATTCTGGATTCATTACAAATCAACTGAAATATTGCAAGCCTTTTATTATTTTAATATTGCTGATTATGGCATACAGCTTAAGAAAACTCAAAAATCCTATCTCAAAAAATTAGAATAGTTCCTCAGACCAAGTAAAAAAAAAAGGTTTATAACAGCAAAACACAATCAAACATTTGAAAATGTACCATTAATGCACTCAGTACTTGGTTGGAATCCTTTNTAAAGGTGGGGGTCCGTGGACCGGCCATAGAGCCCATAGAGTTAAAGGTGTTGGCCGTTAGCTGTAAAAATCCATAGATTAGCCGCACCGTTATATAAGCCGCAGCGTCGAAAAATAGGGAAAAAGGCGCGACTTATAGTCCGAAAATTACGGTACATGTTTACTCATTCTTTTTAAACTATACAATATGACAAAAGAGATTTTAAAGATGTATTCAAAGACCACAAAAGCAGCTTTAAATACAAATANTTGTGGATGTGCTTTGAAACTGCACTCTGTGAACAGCTTGCTCTTTGAGAAATTTCTTTTTGTGTCTTACCCTCCTGATGGAGGGTGTCAATGACGGTCCTCTGGACAGCAGTCAGATCAGCAGTCTTCCCCATACTTGTGATTTAGTTTACTGAACCAAGCTGAGTGTTTTTCAAGGCTCAGGAAACCCTTGCAGGTGTTTCGAGTTAATTAGACGATTCAAGTGATTCGTTGAACACCCTACTAGTATACTTTTTCATGATATTCTAATATTTAGAGATAGGATATTTGAGTTTTCTTAAGCTGTATGCCATAATCAGCAATATTAAAATAATAAAAGGCTTGCAATATTTCAGTTGATTTGTAATGAATCCAGAATGTATGACATTTTTGTTTTTTTAATTGCATTACAGAAAATAAAGAACTTTATCACAATATTCTAATTTTCTGAGACAGTCCTGTACATGTTTACTCATTCTTTTTAAACTATACAATATGACAAAAGAGATTTTAAAGATGTATTCAAAGACCACAAAAGCAGCTTTAAATACAAATAAATGCATTGGTACAGCCATAGTTAGTTACTTAATACATCTGAACAATGTATTTCCATCCAGACCCAGGTATTTGCATGAATAAACTCATCAGCAAGGGTTTTATCTATCTTTTTTATTAGCTTCCACTGATTTTTTTTTTCATTCTCCATCTTTCTGTGCTGGCTTCAGGCGGACCTGAGCAGCGACATCGAGGAAGGCTCCGGCGTGTTCTACGGCGTGAGCAGCCAGTACAGTGGAACAGAAAACATCACCATCAGTGTCTCAACGAAGGTCTGCTCCTTTGGCAAGCAGGTGGTCGAGAAAGTGGAGGTAAGAAGCTTTCATTGAATACTCATAATGCATTTCATATGCAACTGTTTTAAGATATGGTTTAATTGTGTGTGTGTGTGTGGATTTCTCTCTCTCAGACAGAATATGCTCACATGGAAGGAGGAAAGTATGTGTTCCGCATCCATCGCTCGCCCATGTGTGAATATATGATCAACTTCATCCACAAGCTCAAACACCTGCCGGAGAAATACATGATGAACAGCGTACTCGAGAACTTCACCATCCTGCAGGTGTGTGTTGGCCCCTCGTGTTATTTCCTATATTAGGATATCTTGACAGGTCTCGGTTTGTTTTAATACATGTTAGATTAGATTCCTTTATTGTCACTACATAGAGTACAACGAAATTCCAAGTATTCCCGATGGTGCAATCACACATAACATACAGTATAAGTATCATTTTGAAAATACAAGCTAAAACTTTTCATATATAATAAATAAAGTGACTATAAATTGGACCTATGACACATTGAACAGTACGCTTACAAAACAATACAGCATTACCATACAAATACAAGAACAATGCGGTCAAGGCAGTACAAAATGTAAACAAGTCAATAAGTAAGTTATTGTACATGTATTGATCAGTGCAGTTGATCATTACATTTAGCTGACGCTTTTATCCAAAGTGACTTACGATAAGTGCATTCGACCAAGAAGATACAAACTTGAAGAAAACAGAATCATAAGTACATCAGGTTTCATAGAGCCAAACATTTCAAGTGCTACTCAACTGGCTTTAGATAAGCCAGTCCTTTATTAGTATACAAGTGCTTTGTTAGTAATTGTTTTGCTCGAAGTGGAGTCGAAAGATTACAAAACTAGAAATAAATGTGTGTTCTATAAAAACGGTATGATGTAGAATATAAAGTGCAGTTGGATGTAAACATGTACTTAGTTGAGCATAAGTTCAGTTCCATTAGTGCTGTGATTGTCTGGCTGTGTTCAGCTCACGTATGGCACTGGGGTAAAAGTTGGTCTTATGACTTTTTGTCCGTGATTTGATGCTGACCTCCACCATGTTTCCCTCTTTCTCTCGCTAGGTGGTGTCCAACAGAGAGACTCAGGAGACTCTGCTGTGCATCGCCTTTGTGTTCGAGGTGTCCACTAGTGAACATGGAGCACAGTACCACGTTTATCGACTAGTTAACGACTAGCAGCACATGGCGTGCATGCAGAGACTCTCCACAGACTTTTTGATACATACAGCATAAACACTATTTCCAGCTCAAACACACAGAACCCCCACTCCTGTACTCTCAACACACTTGTTTTAACAGACCAACAGTCACACTCTAGTCACACCTCTTGTTTGTATGTGTATGCTTTTCCATCACTGCAAACTATGCACCCTTTTTTAAACAGCCCATGACTTAAACACTAAAGTGAAGTTCTTTTATTATAGATTTCTACCAAAATCCAGAGTTATTATCACTAAGTGTTGTGATGTAATCCATGAAATGATTTAGTCACATTAACCTCCCAACTGGAGAAACTGATTGAGCACATCTCAATGTATCAAGGTGCATTAAAGGTGTTCGTCTTTTTTTTATTGTATCCACTGACAAGCAAAGGAAAAGACACATAAGAGCTAAATGCTATAAAACAAGTTTAATATAGGGTATTCTATTTTCATATCCATTATAAGGGCAATGTAGCTGTGGTGCTCTAAAGATGTATATTCTCTTTTCCTGGCATATGTATTTAAGGCATAGGTGTGACTGATGTGAGACCAGTTTGAATATAGATTGGCAATCAAATCATTTAATCAGTGTTAATGTTACTATTCCACCATGACTTTTCCTTCTGCAGTTTAGTATCTCTGTAAGGAATGAAAAGAGCCTTAATTGGGGTATCCTCTATCATTGTTTCGTGTGGAGAATCATTATTATACTCCACTTGGTTTAATCAAAACTCTAAGGGAAATGCAGCAGGAAATATAAGTCTGCCTCTTCCCAGAATGCAATTCACTACATGTCTAGACGTAAATGTCCTATTTATATTTGAAACACGTTGTAATGTGTAAAGAGAGCCATCCTTTTTAAGTGTTTAAGTTAGGCTCACCTGTCTTTGGAATCAAAATAGTTCACAGCTAGTTTAATATTCAGCTCACACTTTAGTGTCAGCAGCATTTTGAAAGAAAGAAATGATCTTTTACTGTTCATTAACTAAATCCAGATTTAACTCTGACTGTGTGGGCTCGCTGCAGTATTTCTACCTCCACGTGAGTTGGGATAAGAATGTGCTTTGGTTCATAAAGCCTTAACCTGAGGAGCACTGATGTATAGGACGTGTACACTACACTTGTAATGGTACTGTTTATAAACCAAAACAAGGTAAATAGACTCGTTTTTGTAAAGATGAAATATCTTTTTTTGTATTTTACCAGCACGGCTAGAAGTGTTACTCTAAGCATCAGAAATGATGGGTTGTTTTGGTTGTATCTTTTTGGATGTATGCAAAATGATGTATGGTACAGACCACACTACGGTCACCCACAGTGCACTGGGGTAGATTTTTGTCTGATAACACTAACAAATTATCCAGCTTTCATTGCTTTTTTTTCTCTTTTGTTCAATGTAATATTTTTTGGTTTCTGGTACAAGTTGCTACCAGCCTTTTTTATATAGTAAGTGTTTTTTGACTCTATTACGCCCTTTCCAGGAAGGATTATCTTTAACCATGTGAAAAGTGACAACGATTTGTCTCGACCATGAAAGTAAAAGCCGACTGGTTCAGTTTTAAATAACCATATTCACTTTCTGGTCAGCTAAAATGTTTATTCTTTTATTTTTCCTGTCACTGTACTCTGGTTGGCTGTGCCTCATCACTCCTTTGGTCAATTCTGCTCAGTGAATTACATCTGTGCCTTCATGCCGTACCAATAAAATCACATGGTGTTTGCAAAATCGTGTATCATTTAGAGTTTTTATACTAACACTTGGCTGCATGGGAAAGGAATTAATTAATAAATGTTTAAACGTCAATCCCTATTTAAGTGAAATCCCATATACTGCACAGGCCTCATCTGTAGTTTGTGTACTATGAAAAGTCATGTCTACTGTATTCCTATATCTACAGCAATTTCAATTATCTTTTTTGATATGTTATAGCCACTTGAACAGTTTTAACAACATATGTCACCTGATTAATCACCCCCCCTTGTGTTACACACTGAAAATGTCATGACATAGGTTGCATTTCTCATTCAGTCTGCTAGATGGGGCTGTCACCTCAGTTATACAGACTTGGCATTTGTGTGTGACAAAAAGTGCCTCCTTCACGGAAACATAATCTTATTTGTATTAATTATCACATGTGTTGAGATATTGGTGTGATAGAAACAAAGAGTGCCATTAATTGTAATAATGATTCATTAATGTTAAAAAAAAATGCTATAAAAGTATTCATATTGGCAGTTTTTGTTTGGCCAATGGGAAAGTATGCTGCTTGTATGTGCACCACTGAAATGAAAGATACATCCGTGTCATAATACAGCTTATTTAGGGCAAAGGTTGATATTTATCAACACAGCTTTTGCTATCTGTAAATGGAGTGCATTTTTCTGTCAGCATCCACCCATTTACTATCATTCATAAAGACGCAGAGGCTGCCATACAAGATACCATCAACTCAGGAACACTAACACACACATTCAAAGCAGCCGGATCGGTTGAATATGAGATGGCAACTATCCAAGGCATACATAAACAAGTAGGTGTAGATAAGAGTTTTTCACAGTCTATATAACCTTTATTTTTGATTAGTAAATACTGTCCAAGAAACACACAAAACAAAACTTAGTACTAAAAAATTCTATTAGAATTTAACAAAAAAATTAAACTAACACCTGTTAAAGTTGAACAGAATATCAAAAATAAAATGTGTAATTGCCCTAAAGATAAAAGTGATTGGATAGTTCTTCATGTTATTTCTTGTCCTTTAATTTTTATTGTACAATGCCATGTCTTTTTGTGCTGCTGCAACACAAAAATGTCCCAAATTGGAATCAATAAAGTTCTATCTTATCTTGTTAATCCATGTTGCAGGTGTGAATGGATTCGTTAAGATCTTAATAGCAACTGGCATCTGCATCGTGATCCAGTCTTTTTAATGTATTCAATAAGGGCCAACAGAAGACAAAAACCAAGTTGTAAATATTTAGACACATTTTTGCTTCATCCAGATGTTCTGTAGCCGTTGTCAAAGGGCATGACGGCCTGTACACCTGCTCACTTCCAGTATTCCTTAAACTCCTCTGGCCGCAGACATTAGTCAGAATGTTATCCGTCTGGAAAGGCTCAAAGAACCTACGGCGTCCTGCAAAAACTACATGCAGTGACACACACACACACACAAAGCCCTTGGCCAGGGTGTGGTACTTGCTGGCCACATAAGCATTTCAACATTGCAGCAGTACAGAATATAGCCGAGATAGTTCACAGGTTGCTCGTGTTGTATTTCAACTTAAATTATTGAGCCATGATGGAGCACTGATAGTGGTTTAGTTACTAAGTTACTTTACAATCGAATACATCTGTCTTTAAAACGACATGGGCTTTGTTTTTTTGGTCAGTTTAACTATACTGCATAATCCTACCTGATCTAAGGAATTTCAAACTATCTGACCATAAAACTAATGTTTGACTCATGTTTCTCCCTCTATCAGATAAAAACTAGGAATATAGACTTCATATGCACCGAGTTATTTTTCCTTGTCATTAACACTTCAAAGATATATTACGCACATGATATGTGTTACCTTGGCAGGTTTAAGGAGAAAGGTGTGGTGGGAAAGTGTAACCTGCAGAAACGTAGCCAAAACATTCCGGTTAAGCAGAAAGCATCTGCTTGATGTGTCGTCTCCTTCTTTTTTTCTCTCTCTTCTAACTGGCTCTGCTATTTTCAAACTGATTCTCAAACTCCTGCCCTGACATCACATCTGGCATTGAACATTTGCATAAAAGAAAATAGCAGGTCATCGGGAGTTTAGCCAAGAAGCTGTTGAGGGAAAAAAATAGCAGTGTACCTCACACAGGTTGATCAATTTAGTTTATAAAGATGATTAATAAGGACATAATTATAGTGAGAGAGATATAGACTTGAATAAATTTGAGTAAAGTTTAGTAAAGCACTATCAATTTTAGTAAAGTTAAAATCATGATGATGTCTTTACCTTTGATTAAAAAAAACATTTATCCAAAAACAGCCTTATGCCAGCTGACTTATGTGGAGTTACAACCCACATAAGGAGCAATGGATGGATTCAAGATCATTTAACATGGGCATATCGGAAGAGGCGTTTTAAATGGAAATGAAGTTCAGAAATTAATGGAGAAAAAAAAGTAGTCTGCTTGTAACAACATCAAAATGATTTTACTCAGATTTTACCGAATAAGTCAGCGAAGGTGTTAGGTGGATATACCGTTGTAAAATGGAACAAGAACCTATGATTATGCTAGTATTTTTGTATGGTAATTTGTGTTATTACTTCATTTATTTAAAAGTGTTAAAACAAGTCATCAAAAAAATATTACAAGAAAAATCTTGCATTCAAAAGTTAACACTGTGTATTATTGGCAAAAAAGTGTATGCATAAAGTACTTATGATATATTCTGCCTGCCTGTAAGAGAATATTCCAGTCAAATTGATATTGTACAATTTGGCACAATGTATCTATAACGCCTTAAAACATTTTGTTATGAATATTAACAAACCCTAACAACTTGTAAACCCTTTCCTAAAGTGTGGAAACATATGTATGACATGTCCAATATATTTTTGCAGCAATGCCTTATTCCTAATTATGAATCATCTGAATTATTCTTGAGTGCAAGTGTAGATCTGAGGAGTCAGATACTCTATTATTTCCATTACTCATGCATTAATATAGCTTACATTTTAGTAGTTGGTCAAGGTTTAGCCCTTTTTTATATTTTATAAGCTCATGATACTGTATATTCAAGTATGTGACCCTAAAATCTATATTATAAGTTATGGTTTAGCTTGAGATGCCTTAATGTATCAGGCTTCATTCCAACATTACTTATGAACTTTGAACCTTTCTTGAAGCGTTAACAGAGAGAAAAAACACGTAGGCTACTTACTAAAGAGCAGGCTGTTTATGCTAATCAGCTCAGGTGTGCAGATATGGCACACGGCCCCGCCCACCAGTGGCTCCTGGAGTGAACTCCCTCTGGTCCCACCTCGACAGGGCGCGGTCCCGAGGGTGGAGTCCACCGCCGCTGGCTGATCTCTGAACACTTTGCCAACCTCCAGACTTGGCCCTGTCCGCTGCTCTGCTCACGCTGAGTCGAGCTGCGTTTTTTCTTTCGGGTCTGCACTTTATTTGGAAACTTGTTTTCAACCTAACTGTTCTTGAGAAGGGCACCGAGCTGGGAAAATGATGGCTCCGGAACCGCTGCGTTCAGCTATGAGTATCCGATGCGTGGAGGACACTTCGCTCGCGGTGCCTTCCGACACCAAGCTGCACTCAGGACAGCGGCGCGTGCTGGATCAAGTGCACACCATCAAGAGAAGCAAGTCAAAACCTGGGAAGAGCGGCACATTGTCCCCCCCAGCTCTAAGTATGGAAACAAAACTTTACACATTAACATCACATTAATTAAGAATATCTCCTCATAGTGCATGTTCTAACCTCTTAATTTGGACAGTGAGGTTTTATTTAGGCATCCTTATAGGCATATCACTTTCGCGCTTGTTTGCTAAAATTAAATCGTTTTTTTGTGGTTCCTGGCAATTATGCGTCACACAACTTTCCCTTCAGTGACCTCCTGCAGACAGATTGAATGTGCTATTTTCCTGTGCTGTGTTTTTGGTCAGCTATGTGAGGAAAACAGACCGCTCGTGGTTCTCTTTGTAGATTTTAAGTGTGTAAAACATTGCTGCTGCTTAAAGTTAACTAGTAAGCTAATTGTAGTTAACTGCGAGAGAAATAGTTGTGTTGAACATGTTGAGGGGGTGTTTAGTCTCAGTATCTATATCGGAGGTGTGTTGGTAACGCCATGAACATAGCATCAGCGTGTGAAATATGACCCATGGTTAGCTGCTATTAAACTAAAGTGTTTTCTTAGTGTAAGCTCTGGGAAGAGTCATAGTCTCATGATCCTATCCCAGGGCTCGACATTAAGGACTGCCCGATGGCCATCTAGTTTAGCTCGGGCAATGAAGCCTCACCTGCTCGTTGCCCGATCGGGCAATCTATTATGCCAGTATCATGCAGCTCGCGGATCCAGTAATGAGTGGCCCGACAGTAAAACTAAAGTTTAGGTAGTTTGAGAGGTAATTAAAATAGCTACGTGTGATATTCTAACCTGAAGTGTGTGTTTTGTCCGCTTACCGCTGCATGATCATGCAGCGCTGCCTGTCGACTCGTCAGCAGCAGCTGATCTCTCTCTCCCGTCAGATTAGACTTCACTCGCGTTTATGTCCATATCGATCAGATCCAGCTAGTTCTAGCTAATGATATGACTACCTGCTTATTAAAAGACACCTAAACAATAAGTGTCGCTATGCAACTGGGAGAGGCCACAAAGTATAGCGCAGCATTATGCATTTGTTTACATGCCCACCGGAACCCCGAGGCGTTACCAACAGATCAACGCACAATCAACCCATACAGGACATCTCTTTCTCCACATTAAGTGTTAGACATTAGAATCGCTATTCTTTGCCTTCATCAGATGGAAAGTGTCTTGACCAACAACTTAAGTATTTCTTATAGCTATGCAGGGCATGCAAGCGAGCAAACACAAACAAACAAGTGAAATGAAGAATAAAATTGAAATTGTACAATATAATATTGTGCTGGTTCACCTTATAATTCAGTCTAGAGAATGCAACAGACGGCATCTACAGTAAGACCTGCACAACTCTAAATGTTCTAGGGGGAGGCCCCCCAAACCCTTCGTGCCATTTCGTCCGCGCGCATTTTTCAGGGCTATCTCTATTGGGCTAAGGGCCATCTGTAAATTAGCTTAGATGGCCCTCCCAAAATCCTTAATGTCATGCATTGTCCTATCCCTACTGTACATGAGCTTGCCACAGAGGTTTCTGTATACAGCCCATGGGGTTTAGCCACACACAGCCCAAACACATGTGTATGAAATTATATTTTAGTCTTTCAAAACCAGTCTGGTATTTGGCTTTTACTTCAACAGGCATTATAAAGTACCACCACAATTGAGAGAGAGAGAGAGAGATAAACAACAAAAACTTCATACTGTGCTATTTTACTGTTTTATTGACACATTCAATGTATTCAAGTGTGTGGCTCGCCTGAAAAGAATATTTCTGACCTGTTTTAAAATGGGCCTTTTATTCAATTTAAAGATTGTAATTACAATCACTGGTTTAAGATTAAACGAAAAATGTCGCCATTATGAACGCATACATCCAAACCAGGCAATATTGGTTCATAAAAAGTACCATTTGAAAGCTTGCACCTTTTTAATAATATACTTTATCCAAATGTCTCCACATACAGAATAGCAAAATTAACTCCATATTTATTTGTCCCTTCAAATTTGTGTTTGTGATTCTGTCTTTTGTGTTATAGCATCATTTAGGAGTTATGAAGTTGTCTAAAAAGAGAGCTAGGTGTAAAGTGACCTCAAGATCTGACAAGAAAATACTTTGCTGTGAGCGAATTTCGACATTACACACAACAGAAAGATAGTCAAACTCAGAATATTAATGAAAACAACTACAAGGTTAGTCTTGCACATACGCCTGAGGCTGCTCTTAATATTCCTATTCCACCAACCTGTTCATAGAATAAGCTAAGCAGTGTTAATGGTTCAATGAGACAGTTGGACCCTCTGGACCGGGGACATTCCCGTTTGCAGCCAAGACATTATTAGATATTTCTGCTGCAGCCCCTACATAATACTAACAAGAAGTTGTGTTGATCGTGATCAAAGATTTAAAGGTAGAAGAAAGAAATTGTTGCGTTAAAACAACAAGCAGGCCTTCCTGAAAAGACCCACATCAATGAGAGTCTCTATTGATTGAGTTTCTGCCAACACAAGTGACTAACATATGATTTGGCCATGTCTCCCTCAGTGTGCATCTGAAGCTGCTTCACTTGATCATTGCTTTATTACCTTTGTTAAACAAAAGGTAAGAAATAAGCTAAATTGTACAAAATAAACTTTAAAAAATGTACTAAATTAACAGGTGATATCATTGGAGTGTAACACTTTTTGACGTGGCAACACATTAGTCAATAACTTGAATTAACATGAATTAAAATGATTCTTTACTGAATAATGTACATAGTATAATTGAAATAATATTGCACTGTAAGAGATTGGAACTCATCGTCTCCTCTTTGAGTATTGGTGTCTCTGCATCCTCTTGTGAAACTCAGAAAATGTATTAAAAAAATACAAGGCTCGATAGTAATAGTGTCGGTTAAGGAATAAAATATATTTAATTTTTTCAGTAACTGACCCTTTCAAAGAGATTCTAAAATGTATGACGGGTCTTTAGTCACGTTGTGTTTGCTACATAGACCTCATGTATGATAACGGTGATTCATGTGCCGTTGTTTTGACAATCATAATCCTGTAATGGTGTGGTGAAGACCCAGCCTGTCATTTTGGGACAATGTGCAAACCTTGCGTTTTGATGAATCACCCAACGAGACAGACGGGCTGAGGTGCCAGCGCACGTTGGCTCTGTGGCTGGATTAAGCTTACTCACAAACTGCAGACTGTGAATGACATTATGACAGGTCTGTATGTGTCTGATTGTAGATTGCCAGTCATGCATATCAAATATTGGAAACACATTTCTTTTGGATGATGATCTGAAAAACGACAAAGCGATTGTTGACAAGCGAATTATATCATTGACAATAAAGTTCAAATTGTTATTCATTTCAGACATAAGTATTTAATCAGAGGTTATACAGAAACCTTATGACAATCTTGAAAAATATTTAATAATTCAATAATATATTTTTTTTTAACAGAGTTAAACAAAAGAACTGCATTAGAAAATAATTTAAGTGTTGTGTATTTTATACCAAAAGTAATGCATTGAGGATTTGCTTTTGAGCTTCTAGAAACTGATGGGTAATGGAGTCAGTACGGTTTTCAATGTTGAAGAGCTCTATCTGTTATGGGATGTTTAGTGTTTTCCTACTTTATCAGTTTAGGATCCTGTAGTTTATGAAGGAGAAGGAGACCATTTTTCCATTATGTTAATATGGGTGGGCAGCGCCAGATTTCATCGCCCAAAGGAGGGCAGAGTGCTAACCTGATTCTGATTGGCTCATTTGGGGCATCTTTTTGTGTTCTAATGTAAACCTTTAAATACATTTGAGTGTGGGTTTATATGTCATTTTGACTGTGCAGAGTTCCCTCCATGGGATCAATTAAGTAAAGGACTTTGTTTTGAGCTTGACTGCATGATATTGTGAGTTGTTGTTCATTTCAGTTTCCACATGTCTCTTCTGTTAACAGGCCCATTACCGCAGAATATGTCAACATGTGAGTTTGGAACCTTCAAGTTTTCTCCGTCCAAAGCGAATGGGTTCTTCGGTCGCGCCAACTCCAGTCAGTCAACAGGCTACACCAAAGTGGTAAGTGCGCTGTTGTTTTAGTGATTGTCAGCGCTAATACCCTTTTACTTTTCACAGACATAACATTAAAGGACAACAATGGTAGTTTTAGCTACTCTTATCAAAGATACTTAAAGGTCACCTATTGTGCAAAATCCACTTGTCCCCTCTGTGTAAAGAGATTCTGAAAGTTTCAGGAAAAAAGATTCGCTCACTTTTCGTCCTGATCCATTTATATAAAAAACCTGAGCTGATCAGACTTTGGCCACTTTATGATGTGGTAACGGTTTTTTGGCTTGTGTAACCATTAGCCAATCACCAACCAAGGTAACCCCCCCCCCCCCCCCCACCTTATCATCTGAATCTCCTCCTAGAGCACCATTGTGTTCTTTTTAACCAAATATTTCTCAGAGGGGCGTGGGGAGGGGCTCCTTATCTTCATCTAAAGTAACAGACTCAGAATCAGCACTTTTGAAACAGAGCTGAAACAGAGGGGATTATGGGATGCTGCAATGCACGATCTATTTGGTATTAGGAGCCAAACACTTCAGAGACATGTTTTGTATATATCTATAATATATTGATGAAAAACAGTATAATAAGGGACCTTTTTTAAATAGTGCATTCCTGTTTTATTTGAGTTACTTCTTCTTAAATCATCGTTTAGGATGTAATGACACATGTTTGCAGGAATCCATCACAGTTATTAGATGATGTTTTATCTGCATTCACTTTTGTTTTCATTATAAAAACGGTGCTGTTTGTGGAAATTCAGAATAGGCTTCTTAAATTAAACTAATAACTAAATCACTGCTTTATGATAGCATACCTTTTTAAAACAATAATATCGAACAAAAAAAATAAGAATTTAAAGGAATAATTACCTGTTTGCTGTCAACGAAAACTGAAAACAGAGAAGCAGCTAGCGTTAGTCTGTCAACAAAAGCAGCCTGCCCGCGCCTCTAAAGCTCTCAAATCAACATGTTTTAACCTGTTTGTTAAATCCATAGAAAAATCTGTTAGGGTTTTTCGGTGAAAACATGCAGTAACAGTGCATGTGCTGTGAACACTCGGATACCAAAACAC